TGGGTTTGAAGTGAAATGAAAAAAAATACTTGTTTCTAAAAATCAAAAAAATTAAAAACAAAAAGTGGTGCGTGCATATGTATTCACCCCCTTTGCTATGACGCCCCTAAATAAGATCTGGTGCAACCAATTACCTTCAGAAGTCACATAATTGGTTAAATAAAGTCAACCTGTGTGCAATCTAAGTGTCACATGATCTGTCACATGATCTCAGTATATATACACCTGTTCTGAAAGGCCCCAGAGTCTGCAACACCACTAAGCAAGGGCCACCACCAAGCAAGCGGCACCATGAAGACCAAGGAGCTCTCCAAACAGGTCAGGGACAAAGTTGTGGAGAAGTACAGATCAGGGTTGGGTTATAAAAAAAACATCAGAAACTTTGAACATCCCACGGAGCACCTTTTAATCCATTATTAAAAAATGGGCGGCCCACGAAAACTCATGGACCAGACAAGGAGGGCATTAATCAGAGAGGCAACAAAGAGACCAAAGATAACCCTGAAGGAGCTGCAAAGCTCAACAGCGGAGATTGGAGTATCTGTCCATAGGACCACTTTAAGCCGTACACTCCACAGAGCTGGGCTTTACGGAAGAGTGGCCAGAAAAAAGCCATTGCTTAAAGAAAACAATAAGCAAACACGTTTGGTGTTCGCCAAAAGGCACGTGGGAGACTCCCCAAACATATGGAAGAATGTACTCTGGTCAGATGAGACTAAAATTGAGCTTTTTGGCCATCAAGGAAAACGCTATGTCTGGCGCAAACCCAACATCTCTCATCACCCCGAGAACACCATCCCCACAGTGAAGCATGGTGGTGGCAGCATCATGCTGTGGGGATGTTTTTCATCGGCAGGGACTGGAAAACTGGTCAGAATTGAAGGAATGATGGATGGCGCTAAATACAGGGAAATTCTTGAGGGAAAACTGTTTCAGTCTTCCAGAGATTTGAGACTGGGACGGAGGTTCACCATCCAGCAGGACAATGAGCCTAAGCATACTGCTAAAGCAACACTTGAGTGGTTTAAGGGGAAACATTTAAATGTCTTGGAATGGCCTAGTCAAATCCCAGACCTCAATCCAATTGAGAATCTGTGGTATGACTTAAAGATTGCTGTACACCAGCGGAACCCATCAAACTTGAAAGAGCTGGAGCAGTTTTGCCTTGAAGAATGAGCAAAATTCCCAGTGGCTAGATGTGCCAAGCTTATAGAGACATACCCCAAGAGACTTGCAGCTGTAATTGCTGCAAAAGGTGGCTCTACAAAGTATTGACTTTGGGGTGGTGAATAGTTATGCACGCTCAAGTTTTCTGTTTTTTTTTTCTTATTTCTTGTATGTTTCACAATAAAAAATACTTTGCATCTTCAAAGTGGTGGGCATGTTGTGTAAATCAAATGATACAACCCCCCCAAAAAATCAATTTTAATTCCAGGTTGTAAGGCAACAAAATAGGAAAAATGCTAAGGGGGGTAGAATACTTTTGCAAGCCACTGTACAACATTCCTTACCCCCAGACACCCAGTAACAGTTAACTATATATCTACAGTGAGACAAAGAAAAGCTGTCTATGTATGCAATTACGTCACAATATGAAGGTGCTAACTAGAACCATGAAGGGTTCTTCAATTGTCCCCATAGAAGAACCCTCTGAAAATAACTAATTTTGGTTCCATGTAGAACCCCTTCACTAATAAATGGTTTTACGTAGAACATTGTTAAACACAAAAGGCTTCTACCTGGAATCAAAAAGGGTTCTCCCTATGGGGACAAACGAATAACCCTTTTTTTCTAAGAGTGTATTACAGGAATTACTCCATATGAAAGACACAAATGCTGAAACACTGACCTTTCCATTCTGTCTCTGTCCTCACAGTGTTCTCATTGCAGTAGAGCCCAGACATACTTTAACTCCCGAGTCAGCAGGACTTCCATACAACAGGTTACGGGATGATATTTGCTCCAAATACAAGAAACGCTAACTGGGAAGTTGCTTATCCTGTTGAAGTAGCTTTAGGTTACACTGTTTAAACCATAGAGCCTGATCCATATATTTTGTCAGGGCTTTCTCTGTAAAACACGACAGATGAAGCAGTACATGTTAAATGACAGTAATGACATTGACACAGTGACAGTAATGTGCCAGTGATTGACTAGTAGATGGATGGATGAAGGGTGAGTTTGACAGACATAGGGTTTAGTGACCTCTGTAAAGCGAGGGAGTTAAGGGCAAATAATGAGACAGTGATGAAGGTGAAAGAATAGACACATGCAATGGGGCAGGCAAGACATGCTAACATCCAGTACTCATCCCAGATCCAGAGGAGGCTGCTAGATGTGACACATGTTAGAGGTCAGATTTATACCCCTAGCTGCCCAGCCCTACAAGGCCAAGGACACAGTAGCCATTGCCCCTGCCTAACCCCTAAATCCATTGGATTTACCCCTTCAGCCATGCAGCCATTTATTACCCAAAGGGGCCATTCCTGGGCCATGGTCTGACTATTCCCAAACTGTGTTGTGACTAGTATCCGGGAAAGTGTCCAGGAATGCAGGATATTTTCTGTGTCATCTGCCTTAACTGGGTTTGGATGTAGACCACAGGAGGTTGGTGGCACCTTAATTGGGGAGGATGTGCTCGTGGTAATGGCTGGAGCGGAATTGGTGGAATGGTATCAAACACATGGTTTGATGCCATTCCATTCGCTCCATTCCAGCCATTATTATGAGCCGACCTCCCCTCAGCAGCCTCCACTGATGTAGACCAATGTCTCATCGTGCTGCATATACTGTATATATTAAAAGCCTGTACAGGTCCAGAACGATGCACCATTTTATTTAGTTTTCCTAACCCAAGCTCACAATCACAACATAGCTGGTGCCGTAAAGGACCCGAATCAACTGTATCACTATCATTGCTATTTGTTTAGTTGTCAATTGTTTGTTAGTGTTTTACCTCTTATTGTATAAATGTGTTGTTTATGGGTGTTGTGTGGCTTGTCTGCCACCAGGTGGCATGTTTTTTCTTGCACACAAAAAAGGAAAACGCCAGTAAAATAAAATCATCTGTATTACCTTACAAAACATTGCTGACACCAGTTCAACAGCTTTTGTCAACCAATAACAAAAACATAAGAAGTAAACAGCAGCCAGCTTGTCTCTGGACACATGAACATAGTGGTCCATTTTTAAGTGTCACTGTTTTTGTTATTGGTTGACAAAAGCAGTTGAACTGGTGTCAGCAATGTTTTGCAAGGTAATAAAGATGATTATATCATTGCTGGCCAGCATTCAATAACACTGAAATGATGTTACTGTCACACAAACATAATCTGTCCTCCAGTCATGTCATCGTAATCAGAAATACTGTCCAAAAATGTATTTACGTTGTTTTCTGGGGGGAACGGTGTACAAAACAAAAAGTCAATGATACAATGTTAAAGGCCATGTACAAGATCAATATGATGTGGGTCTGTTAGCTTTCTGACGACAAGACCTTCTGCATCCATCAATACACAGACAAGACCCACAACAACCCATTGTTTACTTAACATTTTATTTTCAATTAAATCAGGTTAAAGTTATTTACATCATTACATTGCTGTTATTACTTAATAGATCATCTTAAGGAAACAGCATTGTCTACCATTTTAATTACTATTGTCAAGTTATTAATAGTTATTTTCATCATCAATAATATCATTATTATTATTAGAATTGTTGAGTGCATTGTAAAGAAACTACCAAAGACCGGCAGAGGGAGGTGTTACGGAAGGTAAGTGTACTTTTCCCTATCCCTAACTCTGGCTGTGGAATAGATCCAGTCAATGACACTATACATTATTTACCATTGATTTCTATTGGGTACAACATAATCCAAAATACAACCAAAACAAACTGCAAATGCATCTAACAAATTTGTAGAGTCACCAGCTTGATGTATTCATTGCGTGCTAGGAATATGGGGCCAAATACTACACTTTTGACAATGTAATACACTGTAAGTGAATTTGTCCTAATACTTATGACTCCTTCATATGGGGGGACTAGATACATAAAGTGATTTCATTTCTAAATGGATAAAACAGACATCTATGAAAATAACCTAAAATAAAAGGTGACATTCTGTACTGTCGCCTCTAATTAAACATTTGATCTCAAAATGCTGGAGTACAGAGCAAAATTAAAAGTTTTAGCTTCACTGTCCAAATAAATACATAGGAGAGGGTAAAGTTGTGTCCATTCTCTACCGTACATTTCTATCTACACAAGGTTTTCGGGTCTGAATGCACAGGCACTCTTCCTATCATCTCTTTTTTTATCTTCAGATGAGCCTAGAGTAAGGCAGGTCTGAGAGCCCAGACAAGACCATCAAGATTAATTACCCATAAACAGTACTGGCTCCAAGCCACATCTGAAAATGTAATTCATATCATTTTATCACATTCAACCAAGTTTGCGGAACTACAGTACATTAAAATATAATTTTCAGTCTCTTTTTTTATCAACTGATTGTACGGACTCTTGGGTTTGAGGAGGGCACCTATGACTATTTATTTGATGCAAGTTCACAAAGTTTCCTCAAACTACCCTCAATTATAACGTTACTCAATTAATCTTCAATCAATCAATGTTATTTTCCCACATTGCCTTTAAGAGCAGTAGACAAAAGTGTTCTATCATCTTGGCTAAGTGCCATGCTTTTGCGCAGTACAAAAGCAAAATTCCAAGATCCAGCACTGCGTAACAAATCTTCTACTGTTTTTTACAAACAGATAACCCAGCATTCATTCAGTTAAAGAAACTAGGTTTATGGTATTTACAGGACAGGTTCCATTGCAGACCTGCCTCTGTGAGTTTTGTGTGATGCCATGCTCTGTCAGATCATACACAGATCAAAAGTGGGCAGTCTGGAGCATGAGCACGAAGCAGCTGATGCCACATAGGCCTTATGGGAAAGGTGGGGGGGGGGGGGGGGGGGGTGCAGCAGTATGGAACAGGTCACTGCGTGACAAGCACTCTCCACGCCGCCATCTGACCAGGGCCACACACACACATACACGTGCACATACACACACATTCACGTGCACACACACACACACTTCATTGGCAGAAATGGAGACAGACGACGTATGGCCGCCCCACCTACACTCCTGTGTTAGGAATGACTAGAAAATGATATGTTAGGAAGAGTAGAGTGTGTGGTTGATTCTACCATCTCCCTTTACTGGCTCTACACAACCATCTTAAGCAGACAGCTCTTCTCCCTTTTCATTTTCATCCATCTTCCTTTCTGCAGCATGGACCTGGTGACACTCTGGGCTGGCGTTATGACTGATGTGTGACATTTGGGCGGCTAGGTCTCTGGGTTGGGGGTGGCCAGCAGGGGAACGTTGTCCCTCCTCCTCCGGCCCAGTGGGGGGCGTCGGTACTGCTCCCCGTCGGCCAGCGTCTGGGGCAGCGGTTTCCTCTTGCTCTCGGGCAGCAGCAGGATGGAGAGCACAGCCAGCAGGGCCAGGGAGGAGTACACCACATGGTGCAGGAAGTAGCCGTAGTGGTTGCGCAGGTCCATGAGGGGCGAGGTGAGGCGGCCCACGCAGCCTAGGGCCAACACCGTGCCCACGCCACTGCCCCTGGACAAGAGGGTAAGGTCAAAGGTCAGTGATCTCCAAAAGAGGAAGGGCCAGGGAAGAGATAATACGAGGACCAAGCCTAAAATGACACCCATTGAAGTCCAATATGACTTTAAGACCTAATAATACACTTAATACAAAGAACAAGCCTAGATGAGGAAGACTCATGTGACAGTCTATGAGTTGCTGGTCCTTACCTGATGATGGTGGGCATGATCTCTGCAGTGAAGAGGACACAGAGAGAGGCAGCCGCCTGGGAGGAGAACAGTCCCATCACTGAGAACACAGTGATGGCCGCCTCACTTAGATCTAAGAGAGGGACAGGAGGGAGAGTTAACTTAGCACTGAACTCCCCAGACTCTGACTGGTTTGTGATTACAGCTGAAACTGAGACATGGCTTTGACTTTCCTGCCACTGCAGTGTCCTACATGAACTGATATACCACTATTCAGCCACAAGGTGGCGCCATGCAAAGAGGGTCTGTGCTTCCAGTAATGAATGTCCATTGGGAAAATTATAGTCCTAACTACACTGAACAAAAATATAAAAGCAACATGTAAAGTGTTGGTTTCATGAGCTGAAATAAAAGATCCCAGAAATGTTCTATAAGCACAAAAAGCTTATTTCTCTCAAATGTTGTGCACAAATTTGTTTACATCCCTGTTAGTGAGCATTTCTCCTTTGCCAAAATAATCCATCCACCTGACAGGTGTGGCATATCAAGAAGCTGATTAAACAGCATGATCATTACACAGGTGCACCTTGTGCTGGGGATGATAAAAGCCCAGTTTTGTGCAGTTTTGTCACAACATAATGCCACAGATGTCTCAAGTTTTGAGGGAGCATGCAACTGGCATGCTGACTGCATGAATGCCCACCAGAACTGTTGCCAGAGAATTGAATGTTCATTTTTCTACGTGCGCAGCTTAGAGGGAACATAGGTTGGAACCGGTACTCGACCACGCAGGTCCCCAAAACAGGGGACTTTACATCTATTAAGGGCAACTTCCACCTTGAGCACCAACTTACACTCCATCAGTCCGAGGAGAATCAGAGATGCCAGCCCTGTCATTGTCATGGCGAGCAGCAGGATACCACGGCGGCCACACCTGTTCACGGTTGCCCATAACAACAGCCAGGCCCCTCCTCCCGCACAGACGGAGAGCAGATAGGTCCAATAGAAGCTGGGGGCTGTGCCTCTGACATCACCACGAAATGAGCTGTAACAATGACTGATGCCATGGGAAATGAACCTGACAGACAACAGGAGAGATGGAGATGGAAAATCATGGTCTGTTTGGCAACTACTATAATCCTATGGGTGCCTATGTTGATAGAAGTAAGGTTAAACCTTTACATTAGGTTGTTTGTATGTCATGCATACGCTATATGTGGCATACATACTGATACTACTATGTTTGGTTACCAGAATGTCGTACTACTTGGAATGAGTAACCAGTGCAGTTACTGAGTAGTTACATGTAATTACACAAAGAAGTTCAACTTTCATGTAACTACTGTAGTACTATTATTACTACTATGCGTGCAACTATTTAAAGCTAAAATCCTTAATTGAAACAATAACAAAGCGATCACCCACCTCTCTTTTGGTAAAAAGCTGAGGGATGGGCCTGGAGAAATGTAACCACTCTCAAATTCATAGACAGAGCTATGGATGCAAGGACTGACCATCCATGATATCAAAATTATAGTTGTAACCATGTTTTGAGACTATACCGTGTTTGTTTACATTCATTTTGTTTACAATTCATTTATAAGTCCAAAAATGGATGTAGCAACTAAGGATTTCAGCTTTAAAGTGTGACCAAACGTGTGAGGGCTAACTTCAAATGGCACAGTTAGGTGACTTACGAGGTGAAGCCAAGCACACATATGTTTTTCCAGATGTTCCTGCTGTGTACGAGCTCTGGGAAGGACAGGTGGGGGCGTGTAGAGGGAGACGGCTCCGAGTCCAACTCTGCAATAATGACAACAATGTCATACCACCATGTCACACTGGAGGCATCAGCAGAGACGTTTTCAAACAATAGACAGCAAATCTCATGAAAAGACCCATGCAAAAAGACAAAATGGTTCCCACACACCTGTGAAGCTCTCATCATCCCTCTCTCTATCGCTTCCTTCACTGAAGGAATTCAGATCAGCAGATCTCTCAGAGAGAAGAAGCCAGCGAGGAGACTCAGGAAATACTCCTGGAATACTGAAACAAAACAGACATTTTCATGTAAATTCCTAGCTTCCATATTACTATTTTCTCTCTCCTGAAACGGCAATGTTGTTATATTAGAAAGAAAAAAAATAAGAATATGCCACTTAACGGACGCTTTTATCCGAAAGAGACTTTTACAGTCATGCATGCCCACTACAGAATCGAACCTACTATCCTGGCGTTGCAAGCACCATGCTCTACCAACTGACAGAGGACTGCATTTTATTTTCTCTGTGTTCAATTTGCTATTTGCAATAAAAGGAAATGCTGTTAACAAAAGTCTGAGAAGAACACTGCACCTTGAAGACAAATGCTAATGTATTCTGACTTTAGCTAATAGCTGAATGAAACAGGGGGCTTTAAATCAATACAATGCTGTGGTGCTCTCAGCAAGTCAGTTTGCATTTAGGTCTTTAATTAAATTACTACCATATTCCCCACTCCCTTGTCCATAGTTTTCTGTCCTCCAACACAGCACACACACACGCACGCACACACACACTCACCCATAGGTGAGGAACAGAGAGAGCGGTGCAGCCCCAGCTCCGAGTAAGCCCCTCCAGGACTGGCAAGACAGAGCAACACCCAGCAACAGCAGCTCCCCAGCAACCGTAGTTAGTCCTGCCACCATGGTGACCAGCAGACGTAGTGAGGGATCACAGAGTTCAAGACCTGTCAATCAAACAGACAAAACAATGAATGATTACAGACACAACAATGTTGAACAATGAGTAAATAGGTTTGGTCTTTGGTCAATTCTCAAAATAGTTTTAAATTGCAGTAGTCATGGCAGTAGTGTTTTGATGCTATTATTAGAGCCTTGTGTACTATGGCAAGGGTTCCTAAACGTTTTCACTTGGGCCCCCCTTACAGCATTGGGGAACATCCTGACAAGTTATAAATAGCTCTCTAAGGTATGCAATGACTAACATGACAAGAGGAACTGATGATGCACTAACCAATTTCGAAATCGCACCTTGTGCATTCTACTATTACAACTTTCAAGAGTACGTTTAAAGCCGGACTGAGTTCCTTTGTGGGGGTACGCCCGCGCCCCCCATGCCGACCCCTCGCGCAGTCTGGGAACCACTGTACTATGGAATCAGTATCTGGAGACTACTCACGTGTGATGTAAAGCGTGAGGTAGACACCAGCGCTAGCAGCAGCCAGGCAAAAGCGCATGACAATAAAGATACGGGGGGAGGTAGAGACACACACAAGTACGCCAAATACCACCGAGAGGGTTAGCGAGGTGAGCAGTGTCTTCAACCTGCCCAGTCTGAGAAAATAACAAAGAAGAGAAAATACAAAGATCTGTATCAGTAGGGCATAAGCAGAGGCCTCTGAACACCATGGGCCGGTTTCATGGAAATTAAAGCCAGGAGTAGGCCTTGTAAAAACAGAGTTTAAAAAAAAGAAGTTAGTCCTGGATTAAGCTAGTAACGAACCAGGGTCATTTTAGATCAAATGTTTTGTAATGACCATTTAAATACATAGTAAAATACATATTATGGACACCTATTGTATATTCCCAGACTGATCAGGACTGAGACTACAAATATACTCAAACCATGTTCATTCCATCACATTTTCAGGATCCAAGTGTCTGGATTCAAGTGCAGTCTAGGCCTGAGTCTGTGAAACTGTCACCAAAAGCGTCATTCTTGTTTGCTAATTCAATTGGCTTCATCTCACTCTCAATCCTCAAGAGGTCTCGTCCCCCCAGTCTAACCCTCGCCTTATCCGCTGTATTTCTTGTATCATCTTACCTGTCAGCAGCAAAGCCCAGTCCCAGGCATCCTGTCAGAACACCCAAGATGAAGGACACCTCCTCGACTGGGACCAGCCAGTACTGACCACACACCAAATCCCACTGGGAGAGGAGAGAGAAGGAAGGAGGTGGAGAACCAACAGACGATTAAGGAAAGAGAAGAGATGGAGGTAGACATATGTTTTGTTACTCACAATCATTTCATCAATAGGACATTGTTCCAGATAATACAAAACAACTCATTTCAACCAAACTACACTATATTGAAATGTTATTTCAATCAGCTTGAGCATGGCTTTGTTATTATATCTGAAGTGCTCCATTGGTGCATTTGCTACTGTTGAAAGCGAAGTGATTACAATGAGATAGCATCGTTTCTGGGCAGAGTCAGTAAGCTGCTGCTAACAATGCCTTATGTAATTGGACCCTATGCAGGGACGCATAAAGACCCTGTCACATACTATCACTCGTCCTATCACTGGTCGGCTGCACTATATACACTGAACAAAAATATAAACGCAACACGTAAAGTATTGGTCCCATGTTTCATGAGCTGAAATAAAAGATCCCAGAAATGTTACATACGCCCAAAAAGCGTATTTCTCTCAAATGTTGTGCACAAATTTGTTTACATCCCTGTTAGTGAGCATTTTATCCTTTGTCAAGATAATCCATCCACCTGACAGGTGCGGCATATCAAGAAGCTGATTAAACAGCATGATCATTACACAGGTGCACCTTGTGCTGTGGACAAAGAAATGCCACTCTAAAATATGCAGTTTTGTCACGCAACACCATTCCACAGATGTCTCAAGTTTTGAGGGAGCGCGCAATTGGCATGCTGACTGCAGGAATGTCCACCAGAGTTGTTTCCAGAGAATTGAATGTTAATTTCTCTACCATAAGTTTTAGAGAATTTGGCAGTACGTCCAACCGGCCTCACAACTGCAGACCACGTGTAACCACGCCAGCCCAGGACCTCCATATCTGTCTTCTTCACCTGCGGGATCGTCTGAGGGGGGCTGGGGCGGGGTGCTGAGGAGTATTTCTGTCTGTAATAAAGCCCTTTTGTGGGGAAAAACTAATTCTGATTGGCTGGGCCTGGTTCCCCAGTGGGTGGGCCTGGCTCCCAAGTGGGTGGGCCTATGCCCTCCCAGGCCCACCCATGGCTGCACCCCTGCCCAGTCATGTGAAATCAATAGATTAGGGCCTAATGAATTTATTTCAATTGACTGATTTCCTTATATGAACTGTAATTCAGCAAAATCTTTGAAATTGTTGCATGTTGCGTTTATATTTTTGTTCAGTAGTTACCTCACAAATGAGAGCACAGTCGATAGCATTCATATGGACGACGTGCTTGGAAAAAATAAGAAATGCCAAACTTGCACACAAACAAGTTCACAAACTGCCCAAACCAGTTATGAACATGAATAAAAAGCATTATAATACCCTTGGCCCGAGACCTATGCCTTCCGTTTCTTCCCTCTTATACTAAAACCTCCATGTCAAAGGAGCATATAGACGTCTGCCCTGACAATTCTACTACAAAATGGTTTTACAAGGCATCTGCTTGTTTAGTTCAGTATTTCTACTGAAGCCTTATTGATTACTGGTGGAGACTGGTCAGGGCTGTTCTGGCTTCTGTGAGAAGTTGCTGAAGCAGCTATACTGGTCGATCATGACTAAAGGTAAAAATACACTCTGAAACCAACCGCTGAATCAAGCTATCTGTCTATGAACAGAGAGACGGGATGATATTCCTGCTGTCTATAAGCACATGGTAAAACCGTTGCAGTAGTCTGTCTCTTAAATTAGAATGACTCCTTGAGACCAGTGTATGTTTAGCTAACCACAGAGGGCAACGGGCTGATAGAACAGCTTACAGAAGCACTGGGTTTCCCACCCACGTCACCACACATGGAATTAAAAACAAATAGAGAGAGAGTCCACAGTGAGCCAAGTGAGAGCTAAAGACCGCCATGGAAAAATGTGGGTGTGGTGGACAAGAGTTCTGCTAAAGACATTAGGCCTGAAGCGTCATAAGGTATTGTAGAATAAGTACACACATCATTAAATGAAGAAAGGCATGATGACATTACCCAAGACCTCACTCTACTGCTGCAAAGCCTTGGATCATGTTTTCTGACACTGAGAGTGCTGTGACTGTTTATGACATTCTTAATCAAAGCAGTGTTAATGGTGAAAGGATTTTTTACCATGTAAGGGTAGCAGAGCTTCACTTCTTATCAGAATCTACTCAGTAATGCATTATGTCATTGTTAAACAATCATTCCCTGTTCCGCTAGCAGCCATTTCGATTCTGAGATAGCAGCCATTTGGATTCTGAGACCAGGAAATACAAACTAATCAAGAAAACAATGAGACCGACAAAGTTCCTCGAGGTACCTCAGTAACAATGTTAATTCTCAATCCTTCTGTGACGTTGTAGTCCCAGCCAGCATCACAGTTCTCCACCCCGGACTGGGTACCGTTGATATACTGCTTGCACTGAGACAGCCCCCCGCTCTCCCCCACTCTGCCCCCCTTCTTCCAGGGCAGGGAGGCGTTGAGGACCTGCGGAGCAGGCAAAGGTCCCGGGAGTCGGCAGTTGTGGGGCGAGGAGAGGGTGAGCAGGGGATCCGAGGAGAGAAGGAAGGCCAGGAAGAGATTGGGCAGGATGGAAAGACAGATGAGCATCCTCTGTTTCTTCCTCCCCAGGGCCAGGATCATCACCTCCCCCGTGGGAGGCAAGGAAGGGGGAGGTGGGAGGGAGGAGGAGGGAGCAGGAGACGAGGGAGTGGGAGAAGAGGGGAGGGGGGGGGGCGGACAGGGGGAAGGGGAGGGGAGGGGGGACTCAGGTGAAGTCATAACTGAGGGTCAGAGAGGTTGTGGTCAATCCTCAGATGAAGTGGGAAATATCTGTGAAGGGAAAACATTAAGGATTCACCAGTACTACTTTATCCCAAATATATTATTAGCTACAGTGCACCTGCAGAATATGATGAAATAACAACAATTGTTCTGTGAGTGAATGGATCTTCTTTCTTATTTAAACAGTCCGTTTTTTACTTTAATTGTGCATAATCATAAACCCTGGCAAATGACATCTCCAATCCCATAATAGAGGGAGCAACGCCAACCACATTAAGTAATGTTTAGCTTATTATTCAATTGGTGGATATATCCATTCTATTGCTGGGTGAATCACACAGGAAGTGTTTATTTGTAGCATGGTTATACACGTGTAGGGAATACGTTATACAGCTGTTTCCTATCGCCCAAGAACAAAACAAGGTATTTGGACACTGTTCTAAGCCTACACTATCAGCGATAAGTGCACATGGTCCATTCTGTTAATGTTCTAGGCTGCTACAAGGCCAGGAAGTTCTGCTAAAGGAATTCCAGTTACATAAGTGGCTTTTCAGACAGGGAACAGTACTGCATGGAAGGAAAAGAGCCAACGCATATTTTAATAGAGGTAACATAGAGCAACACACAAACCACCAGAAAAAAAACATTCATAACATTGTAACATCCCACTGGGCACGGACATCAATTCAACGTCTATTACACGTTGGTTCAACGTAATTTCATTGAAATTACGTGGAAACAACGTTGATTCAACCAGTCTATGCCCAGTGGGATTAATAAATTATGAATAAATGACAAGCCTAAACTGAAATGGTGTTGTCATATTAGGTCACTGACACAAGTGGACGCACGCACCTGCCCCGGGCAGACAGAGAGCAAAACACATGATTCTGTAAATATACAATATTGTCAGTCTGCGTAGCAAGGGGACAGTAGCAGCAAAATGACTTACCCCTTTCCAGTGTTATTATAGTCGTCGGATATTATAATAAATCCGGTGGGTTAACGATTGCCCACTGTCACTTTCAAACGTCCGTTTTGGTAAAGCCAAAACATTGCAGGGGATAAAGGGAACAGTGTTCCGAATTGAGTTGGATTTTCACCGCATTCCCTTTACTCTTCCTATGCGTCTTCTCTCTGTCGGCTGTCTATTATTCCATCCTACTGTCCCGGGGTAGTATTGTATGAAGAAGCACTGTAAACTAAAGTCATGTCAGAAGAAAACGCAGTTTCAACATAGACACCTACTGAAGCAATTTTTTTGGCTGTATTGTCATGCTCGACTTCTACCGTCCCTGATTTCTAACGTTGTTGCGCGACCCAAGTTTATGTCCGCCGACATGAAACAAAGTGTTAAGTAATTCAATAATACATTATTATTTCAGACATTATCTTAAAGGGGACGGGTCACAGCCATAGTCGAACCGATCCTCTCTGGGACAAAGGGGTGGAAAACTGAATTGGGGAAGCGACATTCAGACTCGTGAGAAATCGGGCGAAATCGTTGAGGAGACGTCCCCCTCTTTCACTGCAAATGAAACCATCTACCGCATGGTGGGGCCATAAATCATAGATTATTCTCAAGGTTGAAAGAGCGCGCATTATGAGTTGTACTACACTGAACAAAAATATAAACGCAACATGTAAGGTGTTGGTCCCATGTTTCATGAGCTGAAATAAAAGATCCCAGAAATGTTCTATAAGCACAAAAAGCATATTACTCTCGAATTTTGTGCACAAATTTGTTTACATCCCTGTTAGTGAGCATTTCTCCTTTGCCAAGATAATCCATCCACCTGACAGGTGTGGCATATCAAGAAGCTGATTAAACAGCATGATCATTACGCAGGTGCACCTTGTGCTGGGGACAATAAAAGGCCACTCTAAAATGTGCAGTTTCGTCGCACAACACAATTCCACAGATGTCTCAAGTTTTGAGGGAGCGTGCAATTGGCATGCTGACTGCAGGAATGTCCACCAGAGCTGTTTCCAGAGAATTGAATTTTAATTTCTCTACCATAAGCCACCTCCAACGTCGTTTTAGAACATTTGGCAGTACGTTCAACCGGCCTCGCAAACGCAGACCACATGTATGGCGTCGTATGGCCGAGCTGTTTGCTGATGTCAACATTGTGAACAGAGTGCCCCATGGTGGCAGTGAGGTTATGGTATGGGCAGGCATAAACTATGAACAATGAAGACAATTGCATTTTATCTATGGCTCATTGCGCTCTAGCGACTCCTTGTGGTGGGCCGGGCGCATGCAGGCTGACTTCGGTCGTCAGTTGAAGGGTATTTCCTCTGACACATTGGTGCAGCTGGCATCCGCGTTAATCGAGCGGGTGTTAAGAAGCGCGGCTTGGTGGGTCATGTTTCGGAGGACGCATGACTCGACCTTCGCCCCTCCCGAGCCCGTTGGGGAGTTGCAGCGATGAGACAAGATCGTAATCACGAAAAAGGGGGTAAAAAAATATTTTTGATCTTTTAGGCATGTCATAGAGAAATGTGGGGTAACTAGCCCCCCAAAGTGTTGGAAAAAAATTGGTGGCATAAAGTGGTTTCTGTGAGGGGGTTTAACAAAATTATTCTGAGGTAAATTGATCTAATATTTCGTCATTTAGAAAAAGTTATATATTATAACCTAATTAAGTTAGATCTATACACTTTTTAAATATATACCATTAGGGGAGCCTAAAGACAAATAATCCACTTGTTTAGAGATAAAAATGGAAAACAGTCTTTAATAAAGCAGTAAAATTTAAGGTGAGTGTGTTGGGGACAACTGCAAAATAATTGACTAGGCAATCAGGATATATAATAAACAGAGTAGCAGCAGTGTATGTGAAGTGTGTCTATGTGTGTGTCTGTGAGTGTGTGTGTGTGTGTGGCATTAATATGCATGTGTGTGTGTGCGTGTGTGCGTGTGTGAGACAGTGCAAAAATAATTAAGATAAATAAATAAATAATAAAGAGGGTCAATGTAAATTGTCCAGGTAGCCATTTGATTAATTGTTCAGCAGTCTTATGGCTTGGGGATAGAAGCTGTTCAGGTGCCTTTTGGTCACAGACTTGGCGCATCGGTACCACTTGCCGTGCGGTAGCAGAGAGAACAGTCTATGACTTGGGTGGCAGGAGTCTTTGACAATTTTTTGGGCCTTCCTCTGACACCGCCTGGTATAGAGGTCCTGGATGGCAGGGAGTTTGGCCTCAGTGATGTACTGGGCCGTAGTCATATGATTAGATGTGCGTCTTTAAATCCTCTACACCTGTCTGAAAATGTGGGCACAATCAGAATGTAGACAAGATCAGGTCAAAGGATGCATGTTAGAACCAGGCACAATAAACAGGGCTTAAGAGGTCTGAACCTCTTAAAGATGTCGCAAGTGGTGTTCACTAGGTCGCCTAACTACCCCGTTCCTTCGTAAAAGCGTGTCCCCCGCTACATTCTAACAAGTCCCTTCTAACAAGTCGCTTTTGATGGATGTGCTGGGGTGCCATCCCAATTCTGACACCAATGTAGACTGTCAATACACTAAAAAGGTCCAAGGTTTTAAGGTTTTAAGGTTGCTGCAATATATAGAAATATGGCAAATTAATTTGTGTGCCACTAATCAACCATTTAAAACCTAATTCTGTTTTTTAAAGCCACACTCTAAGATGTGCATATTACATCAAAGAGTGGTGGGACACCAATAAAAACGTAATAGAGCGATGCACCTCGTGACATTTTCACATGCAAATAGCACCTGATTTTTGTTGACAACTCAGGGGTTTGAATAACTTTTAAATAATAGGCTTTTTGAAGGTTAAAGGGGCAATCAGTGATTCGAAAAACAACAAGCAGGCACTAACTTTGGTAAACAGCTGATGGAAGGGCTGGAGAAATGTAACCACTCTCAAATTCAGGCAGAGCTATGGATGCAATGACTGGCCAACCATGCAATAAAAACCCTGTTTTAAAACTACAATGACAATGACAATGTTTACAAACAATATTAAAACAGGCTTATGGCCGGGATTCAATCAGAACACGCGTTGTAGTGCGCAAGACATTTAGAGGTATTTTCCGAGTAAGCTGACATCTGCAGAGTTTACCGTTTATTGAGATCTCCACGAATGCGGGAAAATTGCTTTTAAAAGCTGCATTGTCAGCAGCACTCTAACAATGATTTATGGCCTTTATTTTGGGGTTTGATGGGGTATGACAGTTTGACTTAGTTCATGTGGCGATTATACGTGAAATGAAATTATTCAATAATCAATGGCTATATCATTCATTTAAAAGTCAAGAAATGGATGTGCCAATCCCAGATTGTCCCTTTAAGCTTTGTCTATGATATTCATTATGACAATAAGTGCTTGAAAATCGTCTGTTAATTTCCTGTTGCAAAATACCCCTCCATTTATTTTCTAGTTGTGGGTTTATATATCTTTTTCTAACATGCTTGCTGTTGAGTAACTTGGGATGAGGTGAAATACTGTCTTTCCTCATTCTGTGGAGACATTGCAGCAGTCCTGGGACCACAGATTGCCCCACAGAGACATTGAGGGTAATTTCAACACACACGTGAACTCTCATAGCCATTGCATGCACCAGCATCAGTATGCAGCTAGCTATACATTGTCTTACTCCCTCTTTAACAAACATAACATTTCCTAGAGGTCATTAAAAACTGTGAGCACATGTCATGGTACTTTATCAAAGATGTGTGTCAAAAAAATGGTTTCCTATCTATCTGTCCCTTGACTGCTATTGCTGCCACAGGAAAGCTCACTCCTGTGTGCTGATGCTATCTGTTTTGGTCTCTGTCCTGTGCTGTGTTGAAATATTACCCGTCCCACAAAGGCCGGCCCAGATTTCTACCCATAAAACTACCATGTCATTGTGTCTGTTTTTAACGGCCTTTGTGAACAGAGTGAAGGGGGGCATCTCTATATGTGCCCTTACATAAAATACTACACTGGAGAAGCAAAATAGCAGGAGATAACTGGATTTAGGCATAGACATTATTATAGCCATTTTACATTTAAGTCATTTAGCAGACGCTCTTATCCAGAGCGACTTACAGGAGCAATTAGGGTTAAGTGCCTTGCTCAAAGGCACATCGACAGATTTTTCACCTAGTCGGCTCGGGGATTAGAACCAGCGACCTTTCGGTTACTGGCACAACGCTCTTACCCACTAAGCTACCTGCCGCCCCATTTTAGATGCAATATAATCACTTGGAGGAGATTGGGCTAAAGTGGAATTGTTATTATATTGGGATGCATTATATTATATTATCAGCTAAAAGGAGAAATGGCATATGCCTGGATTAATTTACACATTTGTATTTCAAGCAGTAGTGGTCACACATGTTTAGTGTTGTTCCCAAAATAGTATTTTGGACCCTTTTTGTACCTTGATTTTCTGTAAGTCAGAATACACAGACTGTTGAGAAAGAGCCATAAAAATAATTTTTATTTTAGAAATGTTGAATTGTACAATTACATAACTTTTGCCTGATATCTAACATTTCTTGACAACTTCCTTATTCTTAGTGGTGCTTAATTAAATTAATATTTTGGAAACCATAAAAGGTATTGGGTAATCAGATAGGGTAATCATTCTTGCCATGCAATTTCCAAGAAAATGTAGTGGAGGTAGAAAGTGTACTGAAATCTGTGTCATCTAACCAAAGACAAAAGGCTTTTAAAGTACTTGGAACTTTGTGTTCTTTGACTCACAGCCTTTGTTGACTTACGCACTAACCCTGTATTATGTCAACTTTTGGGATACTCCCAGATGAAAGCACTTATGTAACTGTTTTATAACAATGTATAGGAATGTACAATTTCCACCAGTGTGACAAAAGAGCATATTTTCATACAGAACCACACATAGTGGCTGTCATTCTCTACAGCGCTCCCCAACACACTCAACAGCCCTCTTCCCTGGCTGCATTCTCACCTCTGGGCTGTAGGTGACGCTGTGACAAGATGTGTTTGAGAGTGTCCAATTCATGTGTGAGTTGCCCTATGAGAATCTGCAGCCGGTGGTTCTCCTCATGCAGCTGCAGAGCCCTTTGGTGGGTGAGCTGTATGCGTCGCCTGGCCTTGTCTCGGCTCTTCCTCACGGCAATATTGTTCCTCTCCCGCCGCAGTCGATACTCCATGGTGTCCTTGGTCAGGCCCCTCTTCTGCAGGGGGCTTCGCAGGGGGCCGGGAGGAAGGGGGAGGAGGAAGGGAGAAAAGTCCTGTAGGACAGGGAGGAGGGATGTAGAGGGTTTGGAGGGAAGAGATAACTTAGAAATGTAGAAAGACAAAATGGATGCAATAAAAAATAAAAAAATTCAACATTGAACTACATGTTAACTGCAACATTATGCATTCTCATGAACACAGAAACCAAGCGGCGTATCCATATACCTGTTGCAGTATGTGACTCTGTTGGCCGGCAGTCTCTGTGGAAGGTGCGTTGTGGCAAGGTGCGTAGGACAGGTATGACAATCCCATCATCTGCTCTGCCATTCTGTTACTGCCAGTCCTAACCAATCCCTGAGCCCCCATCGACTGGCTGTATGGAATCCCGTCCTTCTGAGGCATATCATTGGTAAAAGGTGCCGGGGTCGATGGGTCAGGGTTCAAGGCCACGGTTGTAGAAGCGTGGGTGGGAGTCTGACTGAAGGTTGTGTATGTGGCAGAAACTGTAGGGCTGTACTCTTGAATCACAGAACACTGAGACATCTGTTAGGGATTCAGACACATTATAGTCACGTTCAGACACATTCATTATCACGTCCATTGTGAGTTAATAACATGATAACTATAGGCCTATTGTAGTGTTTTAAAATGCAAACAACATTCAAGTACTAACATTGTTAAGATTTATTTATATCCCTGATGAAATTCTCTTTTTGCACAACACGTAGCCTACAGTACATTATTGTCGGTTTTGTACTTGCTTCAATATATTATGAGCATTTCCCACCAGAACATTGACTGACTTACCTCTGAATTTGTTTATCGTCGTACTGCCTTTTCTGTTTTGTGAGTTCCTCCCTCAATGTTCTGCTCATAAACACTGTTAAGACAGGTACTCATCTGATCATCACACCATCACTTCCTCGTAAGTTAAACACCACCTCTCTCTCTCTCTCTCTCTCTCTCTCTCTCTCTCTCTCTCTCTCTCTCTCTCTCTCTCTCTCTCTCTCTCTCTCTCTCTCTCTCTCTCTCTCTCTCTCTCTCTCTCTCTCTCTCTCTCTCTCTCTCTCATGACCCATGGGCTTGTTTTTTCTTATCTCCTTGTTTCTTGCCTATAATTTACTTCTCCTTTTTTAGGATCACATCCTGACATTATAACTTTTTGGGGGACATTTTAAAAATATATATGTGGCTGTACATGGGCATCATTAAAGAAATATTCTGGAATATTTATTTCATGCTGTTCTATGGTCAATAATATATATCCATTAATTATTTAAGAATATAACCTATAAATGCCTCATGAACTTAGTACATCTCAACTGTCTTATCTATAGACATACATAGCCTACAACATCATTGGTCTTATACTACACTGAGTGTACAAAATTGTAACAATTTCTAAAAACATGTTTTCACTTTGTCATTATGGGGTATTGTGCGTAGATGGGTGAGAGAAATAACAAATGTAATCAATTTTGAATTCAGACTGTAACACAACAAAATGTGGAATAAGTCAAGGGGTATGCATACTTAATGAAGGTACTGTATCTGTGTTTGGTATATATACAGTATGTGTTATATACAATGAATGTTCAAAACATTAGGAACCCTGCTCTTTCCATGACATAGACTGACCAAGTGAAACCTATGATCCCTTATTGATGTCACTTGTTAAATCCGCTTCAACCAGTATAGATGAAGGGGAGGAGACAGGTTATAGAAGGATTTTTAAGCCTTGATACAATTGAGACATGGATTGTGTATTTGTGCCATTCAGAGAGTGAATGGGCAAGACAAAATATTTAAATGCTTTTGAATGGGGTATGGTAGTAGGTGCCAGGCACACCGGTTTGACTGTGTCAAGAACTGCAACGCTGCTGGGTTTTTCACACTCAACAGTTTCCCCCGTTTGTATCAAGAATGGTCCACCACCCAAAGGACATCCAGCCAACTTGACACAACTGTGGGAAGCATTGGAGTCAACATGGGCCAGCATCCCTGTGGAACGCATTCAACACCTTGTAGAGTCCATGCCCCGATGAATTGAGGCTGTTCTAAGGGCAAAAGGGGGTGCAACTCAATATTAGGAAGGTGTTCCTAATGTTTTGTACACTCAGTGTATAAGTATACATTATACCCCTACCAAATCAAATCAAAGTTAATTGGTCATGTACACAGATTTGCAGATGTTATTGCAGGTGCAGCGAAATGCTTATGTTTCTAGCTCCAGCAGTGCAGAAATATCTAGCAATACAAAAACAATACATACATAATCGGAAAAGTTAAAACATATTTGAAATATCAGAACGAGCAATATCAGAGTCCGGATATAGTTATATAGGATGAGCCATGACTAGAATACAGTATATACATATAAAGTGGGTAAAACAGTATATAAACATTGTCTAAGTGACCAGTGTTCAATGACTCTATATGCATTGGGCAGCAGTCGTCCATAACCCAAAATATGAGGTTATTATGTTGTATTAGTTGTTTATGTTTTTGTTGTTTTGTCTTATTCACCATGGGCATTTTGCATAAGTGCAATGTGCATAATCCATAATTATTTGGACATGATATTGTAATCAACGTGATACGAATTACGAAACTCTTTCTAGCAATTCCACTGTCCCTTAGCAAGTTCCGTACTTGCAACTTTTAATCAAAATGGCGGCTTCCTATAGCGAAAACGTGAGTTGGGCAATATGCTTTAGTTTTATGTCAAGATTTTGGATATTTATTGAAACGTTTCAAGATTATTAACCTTATTTCTGCCATATCTCATGATTGAAAAGACCGCAATTATCCAGCCACTTCACACAGGGCTTGCCATAGCTATTTAGTCAGAATTTGACTAGCTAGTTAGATAGCTAACTAATTAGCTTAGCTAGTAGCCAAGTCCTGTAGCTAGCTAGCTGTAGTAGCTAACAATGGGACAGTGTTTGCCTGGGTTTACTAACTTTGACAGAAGTATTATTGTAATATTTTGATTTGCTATTTTCTTTCAGGATTTGATTGACAGTGATGGACCCAATGCTGTGCGGCTGTTGAACAGTCTCACTGAACAGGTTAGGTTCAGAATACAGCTAGTTACAGATTTGACACCAGATAATGAGAACCAAATATTTGTGGAATCCATTACTGAGCGTTACAGGTTTGCCTATACCAAACGACCTATACAAAACGTCTAAAATGTCCGTGACCAGTTGCAGGTGGTTCTTTTGAATTTCGAAAATGCTCCATTATTAAAATAAATAAATGTTTTGCTCCATGAAATAATCCAACAATATGTACGCCGCAATCTTGTCTATTTAAAAAACGGAGCATTTTCTAAATTCAAAAGAACCACCTGCAACTGGACAAAGACATTTTAGAAGATTCAGTTGAAAAATCTATGACAACGTTTTGAATAGGCAAACCTGTAACACCCAGTAATGGATACCAAAAATCTTTGGCTATATCACATTATCTGGTGTACGATCTGTAGCTTGAATACAGCCAGCTGTTTGTCTTCTGTAGCTTCTTGCTAATGATGTGACATACAGTACCAGTCAAAAGTTTGGACACCTACTCATTCCTGGGTTTTTATTTATTTATTTTTACTATTTTCCACATTGTAGAATAATAGTGAAGACAACAAAACTATTAAATAACACATGGAATCATGTAGTAACCAAATAAGTGTTAAACAAATCAAAATATGTTATGTTTGAGATTCTTTAAAGTAGCCACCCTTTGCCTTGATGACAGCTTTGCACACTCTTGGCATTCTCTCAACCAGCTTCATGGGGTAGTCACCTGGAATCCATTTCAATTAACAGGTGTACCTTGTTAAAAGTTAATTTGTGGAATTTCTTTCTTCTTAATGCGTTTGAGCCAATCAGTTGTGTTGTGAAAAGGTAGGGTTGGTATACAGAATATTTGGTAAAAGACCAAGTCCATATTATGGCAAGAACAGCTTAAATAAGCAAAGAGAAACGACAGTCCATCGTTACTTTAAGACATGAAGGTTACTCAATGCGGAAAATTTCAAGAACTTTTAAAGTTTCTTCAAGTGCAGTTCCAAAAATCATCAAGCTCTATGATGAAATTGGCTCTCATGAGGACCGCCACAGGAATGGAAGACCCAGAGTTACCTCTGCTGCAGAGGATACGTTTGTTAGCGTTACCAGCCTCAGAAATTGCAGCCCAAATAAATGCTTCACAGGGTTCAAGTAACAAACACATCTCAACATCAACTGTTCAGATTTGACTGCATGAATCAGGCCTTCATGGTCGAATTGCTGCAAAGAAACCACTACTAAAGGACACCAATAACAAGAAGAGACTTGCTTGGGCCAAGAAACACGAGCAATGGACATTAGACCGGTGGAAATCTGTCCTTTGTTCTGATGAGTCCAAATTTAAGATTTTTGGTTCCAACCGCCGTGTCTTTGTGAGATGCAGAGTAGGTGAACGGATTATCTCCACGTGTGGTTCCCACCATGAAGCATGGAGGAGGAGGTGTGGGGGTGCTTTGCTGGTGACAGTCTGTGATTTATTTAGAATTCAAAGCACACTTAACCAGCATGGTTACCACAGCATTCTGCAGTGATACGCCATCCCATCTGGTTTTTGCTTAGTGGGACTATCATTTGTTTTTCAACAGGACAATGACCTAAAACACACCTCCAGGCTGTGTAAGGGCTATTTGACCAAGGAGAGTGATGGAGTGCTGCATCAGATGACCTGGCCTCCACAATCACCCGACCTCAACCCAATTGGGATGAGTTGGACTGCAAAGGGTGGCTACTTTGAAGAATACTCCTGAGTGGCGCAGTGGTCTAAGGCACTGCATCGCAGTGCTAACTGTGCCACTAGAGATCCTGGTTCGAATCCAGGCTCTGTCGCAGCCGGCCGCGACCGGGAGACTCATGGGCGGCGCACAATTGGCCCAGCGTCGTCCAGGGTAGGGGAGGGAATGGCCGGCAGGGATGTAGCTCAGTTGATAGAGCATAGCGTTTGCAACGCCAGGGTTGTGGGTTCGATTCCCACGGGGGGCCAGTATAAAAAAATATGTGTTCACTAACTGTAAGTCGCTCTGGATAAGAGTGTCTGCTAAATGACAAAAAATAAATAATAAAAATAATCTCAAATATAAAATATATTTTGATGTAACACTTTTTTGTTTACTACATGATTCCATATGTGTTATTTCATAGTTTTGATGTCTTCACTATTATTCTACAATGTAGAAAATAGTAAAAATAAAGAAAAACCCTAGAATGAGTAGGTGTGTCCAAACTTTTGACTGGTACTGTAGCTACGGTAGTGTTTATCAGTCATATCTATTACTAGTTACTGAGATCTATTACCAGTCACTCAGATGTATAAGGTCAGTCTGTACACATTCAATCCTAGGTGGCATCAGTTACAGGGCAGGTTCGAGATTTGCTAAAGAGGGTCCAAGATGGAAAATTCCAAACATCCAAGGTAAGTACTATTATAGGATTCACACATAAGGGCATTGAGAGTTCACATTGGCGTGGACTCAAACAGGCAGCATTGTCTCTCTCAAATGATTTATGCAAATGTAAATTTCCCACTCTCTTGTAGGGTTTGTCTTTCCTTGACCTTAGATATCAGCTGCTGCTGTTTTACCTGCAAGATGTCACTCACCTGATCAGTCTTAAATCCGAGGGTGGTAGTGTGAAAGACAGTGGTGCCCTTCACAGACTGGTCACCGTCAGAACAGTAAGATACCCTTCATTGCTGGTCACTACATGTTGTACCACTCAGTGTGTGGGGCTGTACATGTGCAACCTCTCCCATTTTCATCATCCCACATTCAAATGACTGTTGACTTCTTGCATAGTCTTCTTGGTCTTGTCTGGGCTCATGAATGCTATCTTGGACCTCTGTTGCTATATTCTAACTATTGTGATGCTCTACTTAAAGGTTTTGGAGAAGATGCGCCCTCTGGACCAGAAACTGAGATATCAGATTGATAAATTGGTGCGAACAGCAGTGACTGGGAGCTTAGGTGAGATGTGATATTGAGGAAAGGAAGCAAGTCTTTTAATTGTTATGAAAAATGTATGTACTTATCAGAATGCATGTGATAAACATTCCTTGATTGTATTGCAAATAGTTTTTTTTATATTTTGTAGGGGAAAATGACCCATTGCAGTTCCGTCCCAATCCGGAGAACCTCGTTAGCAAAGTAAGCACTTCTCATCTCTTGGCATCCCTCAATCTATGTTAGATGAATACAATTATAAACTGGGTGTTTCGAGCCCTGAATGCTGATTGGCTGACAGCCGTGGTATATCAGACCGTATACCACGGTATGACAAAATATTTATTGTTACTGCTCTAATTACCTTGGTAACCAGTTTATAATAGCAATAAGGCACCTCTGGGGTTTGTGGTATATGGCCAATATACCACTGCTAAGTACTGTATCCAGGCACTCCGTGTTGCATCGTGCAAAGAACAGCCCTTAGCTGTGGTATATTGTCCATATACCACACCCCCTCAGGCCTTATTGCTTAATTATATTATTATTCATTTTGTTGCATTGTTCCCTATCGCAGAATGAAATCTGGTTTACGCAACAGCTTTTGAATGTCCTTACTTTTTAAAAAAATCTAAAAAATCATTCCATAGCTAAGTGAATCAGAAGACTCAGAGGATGAAGATGGAGAGAAGGCTGAAGGCACTGAGAAAAAAGTGCCATCTAGTGGCAAGAAATATGTTCCCCCCAAGATTGCCCCAATGCACTATGGTAATGTCAAATATAACAGTATTTTATCTTCCTCTCTGTTGAATTGTATTTAGACATCCCCTCTTAAAAATGCACCCAAAGCTTTCTTATTTCTGTGATGGATGATAAAAAAACAAAACCATGGCTGTGATGTATAACACCTCTTTACTTGACCAACAGAGGGAGACCTGACCGATGCAGACAAAAAGAAGGAGCTGGCGGACAAGCAGAGGCGTGCCGCCCTCCGCAGCTCTGTGATCCAGGAGCTCCGGCAGCAGTACAGCGATGCTCCCGAGGAGATCCGCGAGCACAGGGACTTCCAGACGGATAGACAGAGCCGAGAGCAGCTGCACAGGTCAGTGCTGTCATCATCACACATTGATGACACAATCATTGATTAGATTATTGATTTGTTTCTCATTTAACTGTGTAGTACTACAGTAGTTTGAGTCCTCTCATTTAGAGGGAGTCCCTTCATGTATTTATTTTCTTCCTTTAGGAAAAACTTTGAGGAGTCGATGATGGTGCGTCTGCAAGTGCCCCGAAATGAGAGAAGTGCTAAGAAGAGAGGCATGCTGGGAATGTCTGGTCAGCTGAGCGGCATCACACGGTTCAGTGACATCACAGCCCTGACGGGCGGAGAGGGACAGGTGAGTTGGACACATTTAAGTGACACACACCAGTATTCTACAGGTCACACTCCTTGCTGATATGCAGTGAATGATAATATAAGATACAGTGGGGGAAAAAAGTATTTAGTCAGCCACCAATTGTGCAAGTTCTCCCACTTAAAAAGATGAGAGGCCTGTAATTTTCATCATAGGTACACGTCAACTATGACAGACAAATTGAGCATTTTTTTTCCAGAAAATCACATTGTAAGATTTTTAATGAATTTATTTGCAAATTATGGTGGAAAATAAGTATTTGGTCACCTACAAACAAGCAAGATTTCTGGCTCTCACAGACCTGTAACTTCTTCTTTAAGAGGCTCCTCTGTCCTCCACTCGTTACCTGTATTAATGGCACCTGTTTGAACTTGTTATCAGTATAAAATACACCTGTCCACAACCTCAAACAGTCACACTCCAAACTCCACTATGGCCAAGACCAAAGAGCTGTCAAAGGACACCAGAAACAAAATTGTAGACCTGCACCAGGCTGGGAAGACTGAATCTGCAATAGGTAAGCAGCTTGGTTTGAAGAAATCAACTGTGGGAGCAATTATTAGGAAATGGAAGACATACAAGACCACTGATAATCTCCCTCGATCTGGGGCTCCACGCAAGATCTCACCCCGTGGGGTCAAAATGATCACAAGAATGGTGAGCAAAAATCCCAGAACCACACGGGGGGACCTAGTGAATGACCTGCAGAGAGCTGGGACCAAAGTAACAAAGCCTACCATCAGTAACACACTACGCCGCCAGGGACTCAAATCCTGCAGTGCCAGACGTGTCCCCCTGCTTAAGCCAGTACATGTCCAGGCCCGTCTGAAGTTTGCTAGAGTGCATTTGGATGATCCAGAAGAGGATTGGGAGAATGTCATATGGTCAGATGAAACCAAAATAGAACTTTTTGGTAAAAACTCAACTCATCGTGTTTGGAGGACAAAGAATGCTGAGTTGCATCCAAAGAACACCATACCTACTGTGAAGCATGGGGGTGGAAACATCATGCTTTGGGGCTGTTTTTCTGCAAAGGGACCAGGACGACTGATCCGTGTAAAGGAAAGAATGAATGGGGCCATGTATCGTGAGATTTTGAGTGAAAACCTCCTTCCATCAGCAAGGGCATTGAAGATGAAACGTGGCTGGGTCTTTCAGCATGATCTCAACCCCATAGAAAATCTTTGGATGGAGTTGAAAGTCCGTGTTGCCCAGCGACAGCCCCAAAACATCACTGCTCTAGAGGAGATCTGCATGGAGGAATGGGCCAAAATACCAGCAACAGTGTGTGAAAACCTTGTGAAGACTCACAGAAAACATTTGACCTGTGTCATTGCCAACAAAGGGTATATAACAAAGTATTGAGAAACTTTTGTTATTGACCAAATACTTATTTTCCACCATAATTTGCAAATAAATTCATAAAAAATCCTACAATGTGATTTTCTGGATTTTCTTTCCCCTCATTTTGTCTGTCATAGTTGACGTGTACCTATGATGAAAATTACAGGCCGCTCTCATCTTTTTAAGTGGGAGAACTTGCACAATTGGTGGCTGACTAAATACTTTTTTCCCCCACTGTATATATGCCATTTCGCAGAAGCTTTTATCCAAAGCGACAGTCATGCTTGCATAATATTTTACATACGGGTGGTCCCAGGAATAATGGGCACACTTCAGATTTATTCTCCACTGCTGTGTTATGATATTAATATATGATAGTGTCATCCCTTCAGGACACGGATAACCCAGGGCCCAAGAAGAAGAAGAAGAAACTAATGAAGAAGAAAACTAAAAGAAAAGGTGAGCCTGAGTTTTGTTGACATCATTGAATACATTTACATGCACAGGAATAATTCGATATTAAACTGATTATGGCAGTATGCAGATTATGCAATAGTCATGTAAACACCTTACTCTGCTTATCTTAATCGGTGTAGGGTCAAAATCGAAGTAAGCATACGCCGATTAAAACACCTAATTTTCTGAGCAATAATTAGAATTATTTAGACACAAACACCTTAATCGGCGGTCCAGCGGTGTATTTGATCTGTGCATGTACTAGCACAAGCTGAGCGAGCTTCCCGGAACAATTGAATGCATGCGTCTTAGAAGTAGTTTTCACATGCAAACGTTGTATGTCAGAACTCAGAATCAAATATGCTTCCCAAAAATGACATGGGCTCTGTGGTAGAACGTTTATTTTGATTGGCAATTTTCTGCATTTATCAGAGTGCCATCAAATAAAAATCATATCACATTTTATTGGTCGCATATACATATTTAGCAGATGTGATTGCAGGTGTAGCGAAATGCTTGTGTTCCTAGCTCCAACAGTGCAGTAGTATCTAACGCTTCACAACAATCTAAAAGGAAAAGAATGGAATTAAGAAATATATAAATATTAGGACAAGCAATGTCGGAGTGGCATTGACTAGTATACAGTATATACATATGAAATGAGTAAAACCGTATGTAAACATTAAAGTGACCAGTGTTCCATTATTAAAGTGGCCAGTGTTCCATGTCTATGTACATAGGGCAGCAGTCTCGAAGGTGCAGGGTTGAGTAACCGGGTGGTAGCCGGCTAGTGACAGTGACTAAGGTCAGGGCAGGGTACTGGGTGGAGGATGGCCTTGAGATAGAAGCTGTTTTTCAGTCTCTCGGTCCCAGCTTTAATGCACCTGTACTGACCTCGTCTTCTGGATGATATGGGGGTGTACAGGCCGTGGCGGTTGATGTCCTTGATGATCAGTAGCCTGATTTCAGACGTGTCCATGTAAACAGGATTATTAGGGAACTTGTTCTTCTTGCAAAGCATGTAAACGTTAATTGAACTATTATTAATCTGACTATCCACAATCAAATTGTGTGCATTGCATGTAACCGTACTCATTGTCAGGCGATCAGTGATTTATTTTGTGTATTCAATTGATTCTCAATGTTAGACCATTTTACAATGACTTGAGTGCAGTGATTATGCATTGTTAGTTAATCAACATTGTTCTTTGCCTGCAGCTTTCAGAAGATAGGATCAAGAATGGAATCCTAAAACCACAAAGCAGGATGAAGAATGTTGTTTTAGGCTAAATGGGATAATTCACTTGGAATAGCTTTTCAGGATCATTTTGTGACTGTAGGTGCTCAAACCATGTGTATTATAAAGGAGCATTTTACCCAATATTTGTTTTCATACTATCATTAGTCCTTGTTTGAGTCCCTCATGCATTTTAAGAATGTTTCAGTATCATGATGCTCAAAATTCCATCCATTTGGACTTCAGAGCAGATATGTTTTCCTTATTGGGCATAAACTGTGACTGGTTAAGCCACACATATTCAGGACAAGTGAGGTAGCTTAGTGGTTAAGAGCGTTGTGCCAGTAACCGAAAGGTCGCTGGTTCTAATCCCCGAGCCGACTAGGTGAAAAATCTGCCGATGTGCCCTTGAGCAAGGCACTTAACCCTAATTGCTCCTGTAAGTCGCTCTGGATAAGAGTGTCTGCTAAATGACTAAAATGTAAATGTAATTTAAAACAATGCAATTTAAGGACAATCAAACATGGTCTAACATTCATCCATACTGAATTCACTCTTGCTCAAATTCAAGTGTATTCTTGAAATACATTAACTAATTGTTCTCTAACGCCCATATTTTGTAGCATAAGGGCCTGTTGGATAGATTGTTTATTTTTTTCAATTTAAAGTTGAGTTCTTGTTTTTCCAATCAACAAACAAAACACAATCCACAGTCGCATACAATCAGGTGAAATGTCTATTTCCAAGTACTTGATTGTTTCTGCCTAAGCTAATAAAACCTTATTCACTGCTTTAATACATACAGTAAGGTTTATTTTACATAACAGTACATAGCATGCTCCACGAATACAAAAACGCAATTTGCTTGAGACCTTTAAGTAAGATGTGTAAATTGTCATTCTAACTCACAAGGGTGTTGGGCACCTGCAAAAGATCAAGGCCACGGTTTCTTGTCTGACCTATCCATGTTCACGAAGCATAGTCCTGCCTTTCATGAAGAAGCTTTTACCCTTTTCGCCAAAATCAAGCCTAAAAGTAGAAACTAGTTTAACTAAAAACAGCAGAATGCCAACTTACAATTAAACAGTTATTTTGAGAAAGTAATGTCAAAAATGTAGATTTCAGCCTAAATAGACATACCCAATAGTAATTAATAATGTATCATGAGAGGGCCATAAACAATACCTAGTACTGCTTATTTATACTGCCAGAAATTCAAATGAGGGTACACAGTACAAATATTTAAAAAAAACAATCATGATTTGTTTTCCCCTTTAACAGAAGTGGGGGAATAGGGCTTGAAATGCTTTTCTAAATATAGTAATCAAATTATAAACGACACTTACTATAATATTCCACATTAACTGTAAAATACATCATACTGAATGACAGTACAAAATTGGCACCATTTCACAACTGTACTGGTCATTTTCTGTGGAGCCAGATAGCTGCCAAAAGGTTTAACGTACGTATCATTAGAAAATCCATTTGTAAATTGTTAGGATCGTAAGAAAAGCCATGAGTGAAACATGAAACGTAAATGTGAAATTTCATCTGTGAACATACAAACACCATGTTACGATTACGAACTAATGTTTTAGACTTGAACAAATCTTGTTGCAATTCTGGCGTACAATAATACCTTTCAGAGTTTAGAAGTTTCATCTCACCAACAACAAAAAAAACATACAAACAGCCTGTGAGGAGTGCTACTTGAACAAGCATAATACGGTATAAAAAAAACAAGTCAGGGAAACCGGAAAGAGGTATCCTGCACGTAAAAGTCTCCATTCTCTAATACTCCTCAGTAAAGTTTATTTCACATTTAGGTCACTAATGTAATGGATCTGTTTGGTGTAAGGCCTCTAAATACTTAAGCAAAATTGTTAAAGCACATGCAGTGGCTGATAGGGAAACAGATCTGGCAATAAGAATAGGTTATAGATGGTCTTGACCATTTGGGACCCCATGGCTATTTAGCTCAGGATAGGTTATAGCCAAGATTTAATCAATATTTAGTTTTGTCTCATTTATTGATATAGCCTCTGCGTGATGGGGTTGTGCAACGCAAATGGCTATAACAAGCCTACATACAGTGGAATTCGCAAGTACAACAGTCAAAATGGCTAATATAAGGCCTACAGTCTGTGCTCCCAAATACTGTAAAAAGTGTGATTCATTATGTTACATGATCGCCACAGTAACACCACGCAGCTATACAAATATAATTATGCAATTATATGGCCATTAAATAACACAACAGCATGGCATATTTAGATAGTGGAATAGGCTTAGCCTAAATCATATTTACTTTCTATTTTGCAGCCCAGGCGGTTATTCTAGACACGGCTCTTCTGTGTCTTTATAGTATCATTCTCACAAGTAATTTGCTGAAGGCCCAAGCCTATACTACGCCATCTACTGGTATAACGTCGTTTTGGAAATTAAACCGGAACCTGCAAAGCAACTAACTTCTGTGTTAGAGTTGCTTGATTGACTAGCTATGTTCGGTTCATGTCCTTTGCAGATGCCACATTCCTGACAAAAGTTTGTACATATAAAAATTCTGTAACCGAGTAAAGGGAGATGTAAAGTAATAATTGACAACTCCGTTGTGTCCTCCTCCCAGAGTGCAAAGAGCCTTGGCGTGACCCTGGACAACATCCTGTCGTTCTCCGCTAACATCAAGGCGGTGACCCGATCCTGTAGGTTCATGCTCTATAACATTCGGAGAGTACGACCCTGCCTTACACAGGAAGCGGCACAGGTCCTAATCCAGGCACTTGTCATCTCCCGTCTGGATTACTGCAACTCGCTGTTGGCTGGGCTCCCTGCCTGTGCCATTAAACCCCTACAACTCATCCAGAATTCCGCAGCCCGTCTGGTGTTCAACCTTCCCAAGTTATCTCACGTCACCCCGCTCCTCCGCACACTCCACTGGCTTCCAGTTGAAGCTCGCATCTGCTACAAGACCATGGTGCTTGCCTACGGAGCTGTGAGGGGAACGGCACCTCCGTACCTTCAGGCTCTGATCAGTCCCTACACCCAAACGAGGGCATTGCGTTCATCCACCTCTGGCCTGCTGGCCCCCCTACCTCTGCGGAAGCACAGTTCCCGCTCAGCCCAGTCAAAACTGTTCGCTGCTCTGGCACCCCAATGGTGGAACAAGCTCCCTCACGACGCCAGGACAGCGAAGTCACTCACCACCTTCTGGAGACACTTGAAACCCCACCTCTTTAAGGAATACATGGGATAGGATAAAGTAATCCTTCTACCCCCCCTTACCCCACCCCAAAGAAAGAAAGAAAAATAAATAAATGGTAAAGTGGTTATCCCACTGGCTATAAGGTGAATGCACCAATTTGTAAGTCGCTCTGGATAAGAGCGTCTGCTAAATGCTAAATGTAATTTAACGTGTAAATGTTGATTCAGTCTTAACATAGGGTGTGTACGTTTACAGATCTAATTTAACGGTTACGTTTTATATTTCACACATGGCTTTTCTTATGATCCTAACGTTCAACCTTTTGGCAGCTATCTGGCTCCATCATTTTCTTCCCAGCGTCCTCTGAGCAACACAGACCCTATTCAAATGCCTGTCGATTCTTTACAACTCCAGCTTTAAGCACGACATGATTTTGTCCCTCTAACCAACAAAATGTGGTCTTGTTTCAATTCTACTAAAGTACTTTATTTTTTAATGTTGAAAGCTCTAAATCCATCCGAGAACATCACAGCGAGATTATACTGCTTTTGCTGCAATCGCTAGGGTCTCCCGTTTCATATGCTGTATTGTAAACGGAGCTGCGAGGTTCACAGGCAGGGACGTGTCGCAATGCAAATGAGGTGTCAGATTTCACATACTGCATTTCAGAGAGCGGCATGTGAAGCGGAACAACCAGAGCGTTCACGGAGTGCACAGCAATTGATGTTGCGCCATTCACAGATCGCCCTGTACACAAATGTCGGTCTGAACCGCTCAAAGTCCCCTAAATAGGAGACTTAATTTTCCAAAATGCTTTGCAACTCTTGGACAAAAATCAAACAAATTAGTAATTTTTACACAATGTCTTTATTTTTTTTTCTAATTACAGACTTATGGGTTAAAAATAAAAAAAAGCAAAACTTTTTTTTTTACCCACTCTCGTTTCCAAAACCCAAACCTCTCCACACAAACCCCCCCCTCCCCTAAAATAAAAGCTCTGCTCCTCTTTTTAAATTAATCAATGACTTTAGCCCCACTCCTGGTCCTCAGACAAGCCGTGGCTGCACTGCGCACTGTCAGAGACGGGGCCAGGTAACCCCCACCCCTTCTCTGGTCCCATTTTTCTCACTCTCCCAACTAAAACAGCTGCTGCCCTCTTGACTTTAGCTCTCTCTCTATAAATGTGTGGCGGTTGGTTGTGTATTGTCTGCGAAGTGTGTGGGCCTAGTGTGTGTGTGTGTAAGACAGCTCAACGCTTGTTGTAGTAAATGCCCCCTGCGGTGGCCCTGTGGTCACCCTGACCCCCTCCCCCCCACACAGACAGGATGGGGTGAGTGTGCATAGCAGGAGCAGAGAGAGAGAGAGACCCTGCCGAGACATTGGGGGGCGCCGCGGCCACCGGAGGAGGGGTTGTCAGCCTCCACTGGTCCTGAAACCTGAAACGACAAGAAGTGGTCTAATATACAGAGAGAGGAGAGGGGGAGAAAGAAGAGAGAGGGACATGAAGAGGAGGAAGTGAAGGACAAATGGGAGGAGAAGCAGGACAGAAAGGCAGAGGGGTGCAACGAGGGAAAAAAAGTTCCAGGCCCACAAAAATAAACAAATGGCAGAGCTCTGGCCATGCTTTCTTGGGGTGAATGCTATGGCCTAAAGGGTGGTACAATGTTTTTTTTACCCACTGAACAGCAACCACTGTCAAAATTACCAAATGCTGGAAGACACTGAAAACAAGAGAGCATGGGATGGAACCAAAGGGAGATGGTAACAAAAGTGATGAAGGTTAAAGGATGGGGCAGGGTAAGTGGCAACTGGTCAGAGAACAGAGAGACAAGGGAATATGAGAACTCCAATACCACAACTTAAAAAAATAAACAACATTCTTGCTATTGGAAGTTTCACATGTACAGTACATTAAAAAAACAAAACAGATTCCTTTCTC